TAGAGGTCTTCCCACCGAGCTTGGTACTCGGTAACTCGGTGTTCGGTCATTTGTGCCCATGTATTTTGTTTGTGTAAAATTATTATTTTCGGTCGGTTTGCCATTTACCGGATGATTGAAGATTGACAATTTTTCTGGTTTTGGTAAACTGTAATCAGTTGTCGATATATAAGCAATTTTAAATCCACCCGCTGCCGAAAGTTATAACGCAGAGGAGTAAATAAAATTCATTAAATTTGCTGTTACAATTTATTTTTATTTTTTATGGGGAAAAAGCTACGAATCAGCTATTAATAAACATAGTTTACCAGACTAACAAAAGAAATGATAAAATTGATAAAATTACCGAGCGGCAACTAGTAGGTGTGAAGTACCTTATTAGTAAAATTACCGAACACCGACTTACCGAATACCAAGCCCCTTTTGTAACTAAGCCTTAACACTGAGTTCGCATAAGGCGATTTTACAAGAAAATGTTAGTTGAAAGCAACAATCGTTTGGTGTAAATGGCCTTTCAACTAAACTAATCGCTTCCAATGAAGTTGGGGTGCAGCCAACTTTTGATTAAACAAATCGCCTCTAAAATTGCCTGGAAAATCGCGCATGCGAACACCGTATAAGCTTTCCGATATGTTCGAGACTTAATATTGATAGTATTCGTTATTGACTTTAAAATAATAGATAAGTCGTCGATAGTTTCGTGTAAGGCCAGATGCACACATGCGTTTTAATAGCAATTGCGTTCCATTATACACGAAGGGTAAATGGTAAACTTACTGGGTGTTACGTTAGACCATTTTGCAAAGACAATTTCAATACATTCACACCTTTTACCTATACATCCAAACTTCTCTCATTTTCTTCCTTACTGTCTTTGATTTTTCGAAGATAGTGAATTGAACAGTAAATCGGGCAATGCGGTCACGGCGTGGTTAATTTGGGGAAAAGAGGCAATACATAATCGCAAAATTATGAAAAATCAAGGATGCATTGTAACGTTAATGTAGCGTTTACCAAAAAAAGCAATCGTATCTGTTGAAACGATTCAGTTTTTTATCGTTTAGGTAATTATCAAAATAATTATATTTTGGTTTTTAACGAAAAGAAATTCAATCGTTGATGCTGAAGCTGTAGCATGCATTTAGGTGCACCTATTAACACCTAAATAGTGAGCTGGCAATGGCATACAACAACTCTTAGTTGATATATGTATTTTGTTTCCATGTTAACGGTTGATGATTTATTTCATTTCAACGTTAACGATTGAGTTTTGTTTTTCGTTAATTCAGCTCTGAAACGAAACGAAATTATTTTGATAAGTTATTTTTGCGCATCAACAAAACGAAATCAATTCATATAGTTTGTTGAGCATCTCTGTGAAAAATCGGTTTGTGTTTTTGATATTTTAATAAATAAAATGGAATTCACGCCAAATGACACTAGCGGCGGTGGCTGAAAAGTGTATTGTGTTTATAAATGTCTGGACGCTTACTTTACACAAAAATTTGACAACTAAGGTCGGTGTTATGCAGACAAACTTTGGTTTGGCAAATTAAATGGCGGCCGCGTAGTTTGCTCGAAGGTGGTTATGTCGAGTTTGGCACTGCGTTGCACGCTGAATGTTGTTTTTCGTTGCTATTCCCAACACGAAATGCAAATTTCAGTTGTACATATGGTGCACAAACTAATATTTTTATGATATTTTAGCTCTGATCCAATACTTTTCGTGCAGAATCCTGTAAAAATGTCAAACAGCAAAATTACTCTCTGAAGTGAGAGTAAAGAGTCACAACAAAAAGTACGGGAACAAAAAAAAGCATTTTTTCCGTAAAAACTTCAACCAGTGATCACTTGACACTTCATGCACGTTCATTATGGTTTTCATGGCTATTACCAACACGAAAGGAGAATTTCAGATTGCATAACGCGCAGAATTAATATATTTTTTATGATATCGTATAGGCAATTAACTGTGCCCTATTCATTGAAGCTCCTACAGCATAAATTCAGTTCTCTGGCTTTCGGTATCACGGCAATTTTTGCGTATAGCAACAATTGTCTAAAATTTTTGTATATGACAACACCCAATTTGCTGCAGTTTGACCAAGGCATATTCCATGATTCAATAATACAAGGTTAGATAATTATTGACAGCTGCGGTTTGACACTCCCTTAAAAAAGGTTGCATTTACGAAGGACAGAGAAAGGGCAAGAATGCAATCCCTTGTTGCGAAAATGGTAGTAGAAAAGTACGCAAAGTAGTCAATTAGTAGTGAAATTCCTTTCGTAAATTCTAATGTATTTGCAGGAAGTCTGGCATTTTAAACGAAATGTTGAACGTTATATTGATGTATCTATGTGAATTACGTAATTTATGTGGTATTCAAATGTATAAAAACTGCAAAATTACTCAAAATTAAAATAAGACTACTATGAGATTGATGAAACATCCAATTTAAAAACAGTTTATGTTTTCATCAGTTAAATATGCTTCATATGCATATGCAATTAAACATATTGCACAAACGCTCATACTTCTATTTCACACCAAAGCTACACTGTTTTCATGTAAATGTGCAAAGAAGCAACACGGTGCCACTGCTAAGGGAGCGGTGCGAGAGAGACAACTGTCAGTTTATCGAACCTTGTATTATTGAATCATGGGCATATTCAACAATGTAGAAGTGACAATTCAGTCGAGCTCTCTCATACCTGACTGTAATGTCAAAAAATGTAAACAAAGAAATTAACCCTTTGTTATGCATTTACCATATTTGATAGAACTCAACATCTTTGAAATTAAAGTTTTTGTTAATATGAAAATATTTAAAATCTCATTAGAATCAGCTTCATTTTATTTATTGAATTTTCGGTTTAATGTAAATGTGGAAATGCATACTTACACAAAATTACACACTTAATGAAACACACTCATTTATAAAACCGTTTCGGCAATTTTCTTGCTTTTACTATCCCAATGTTTTTGAGCATTTATTTTTTTAATCAAACACCTAATTCTAAAGTGTATTAGACATTAAAAAAAACCTGGGACCAAACGCGTCTATTTAGAAATACTTGGCTGCGATAGGCAACAAATAAAGTCACGACCACACGTGAAGAGTCTCCTAATGAAACATCGCAGCAATTTGCCCACCGTTGTCGCTTAACTTGACAACTCGAAGGTTTAAAAAAACGCACAAGTTTGTTGTCCAGGCTCTTGACAAACACAACGCAGCGCTCGTAATTCGTTTTCATTTTATTATGTATTTAAAATCAGTCGCAAAGCTCACAATTGAAAATTTATATTAAAAAAAAAAAATTT